AGCCTTCAAGCATACACCACCCATGAATTACTATCTGATAATAGATATTGGGGAGAAATCCCAGAAAGAGAATCGGGGTCAGAAGGTTTTCCCTGGAATCTGTTGTTCATTTGAGGATTTTTACTAGAGAGAAAGGTTAGGGCCATGATGCATGTGGTAAGGTTTTCAGTGACCACCTGTCCTTTCCTTCTCATGGCAAGATTCACACAGGGAAGAAATCTCATCAATGTCTTAACTGTGGGAAATGCTTTGAGGGGAGCAGAGAGTTTATGAAGCATCAGAGAATTCACACTGGAAAGAAGCCCTCTGGATATCATGGAAGTGGGAAGAAATTTTTGAGGGCATTTTAGTTATAATGCATGTGGAAAGGTGTTTTTGGGGAAAAAAAAAAGAGGTCTTGCCTGAACATAAAAGAATTCATACTGGAGAGAGACCTTATGAATGTCAAGAATGTAAGAAAGCTTTCAAACTGAAGTCAGTTTTATCTCATCATGTGAAAATTCACACTGGAGAAGAACCTTTTAAATGTAGTGAATGTGGGAAGTCCTTTTATTTCAGGGTTCAACTTCCTGGATGTCAGAGAATTCATAAGTGTCATCAGTGAGGGAAGGCCTGCTGTATGAAATCCTCTCTTACTGCACATCAGAGAGAGAATTCATTCTGCATAGAAAACTTCAGAATGACTTCTTACAACTAGCCAGATTAAAGACTAGACGTTTTCTCTGATCCTCATTACCTCTCAAACATCTCCAAAATAGCGGTTAGGTGAAGAAGAAAAATCTGCTTGCACTATTTCCATGATGTAGGACACGTTGGGTGAACATTTATGTGTCTTGGGTTTAGGAAAACTATCCCCTGGAGTGAAGGACTTACATTCTACATGCTATGTATTTTCCAGTATCTCAGGACAATCAGTGCGTATATTATATGTTTAGTTTTGTTTATTTTCCTCTGCATCAGCTGAAGAACTATACTAGTTTTTTGTAGGAAAGAGTTCAAGTCACAACATTGCACTATACATTTAAAGAATGATATTAGGTTCCTAGGCACTGAACCTGAGCAGTGTATCCCCTTCCCAAACTAGAGAGAATTTGATTGTCAGTTTGTGGACAATGGTGACTACTTTGTGGTGTTCCCCATTTAAGTATGGTAAAATAAGGGCTTTTCTCATATTATGTCGGGCGCTTGCACAATCGCTGAAATCCTTTTATCACATATGAGATGCATTTGAATTCCAGCCTGAAATTACTAGCAGAAACAGGGCAGCGATAAAATGAAAATTGGTGGATCCTCTTGAGATAGAAAGTGGTCTCTAAAATCCAGAGCTTGGGGGTTTTTTCTGGTCTATGTGTCATGAATGTGAGAAAGGCTTCCATTTCATTGTACAACTTACTAGTCATGAAACAGTTCACGGTTTAGACTAGTCCCAGTGGGCCATCTTTGTTTTATTGTATTTTTGTATTTTTATTTGCTTTGTTAATCATTTCTCAATTCATCTAGTCCTTGCTTTAAGATAGCCAGTGATGGGGAAAACCAATTGCCTTTCATCACAGCACCTCCATTGTACTTTTGGCTAACCATTAGGAAGAGTTCCACGCCCCTCCCCCCCACCATCAATCCTAAATTTGACTCTTGAAATTCCTACCCATTGCTTATTTTCCCCTATTCTATTCTGCCAAGCAGAAAGAATGTAATTCTTGCCTTTATAGCTCTGTAAATAATTGAAGACAAAGATTTTTCTCAGTTGACCATCATTCCCCTTATCGTAGATCCACTCATTTGTTCATGTGAAAGTTTTTCAGTCTCCTGTGATCAGAAGTAGCCATCCTGTCTTCTTAATTGCCTTTCTCCCATATTTGGTTACTCACCCCCTAACCATGACTGTGAAAGGTGGGTAATCTACTGACTTTTAATGAGAAGTCTTTAATAAATCAGGTCACATCACCATTGGGAATTCCTTTGGAGGTTTGATATATGAGATCTTTGTCTAAAGCTGATTTTGTCCAGACTTTTTTCCAGTTTTCCCAGCATTTCTGGCTTTTCTATGGTAATTTGTGTTTTCAGGTTTCTCAGACACTGAATTATTAAGTTCACTTAATGGCCATGTCTAGTCAGGGTATTTGGTCTTTCATTTAAAACCAGTACCGAATGTTAGTGATGGCTGCTGGTTTTCAGTAGGTTTATGGCCTGGAAGGGCTATTGTTTCTTTGTTGCTATTTGGTTGTTTTGATCCTTTCTGATTTGTTGTGACCCCATTTGAGGTTTTCTTGGCAAGATACTGGAGTGGTTTGCCATTTCCTTCTCCAGTTCATTTTCCAGATGAGGAGACTGAGGCAAACAGGTTAACGTGACTTGCCCAGGATCACACAGCTAGCAAGGATCTGAGGCTGGATTTGAACTCATGAAGTTGGGTGTTCCTGATTGAAGGCCAGTGCTCTATCCACTGCACCACCTAGCTGCCCATTATCCCTTAATTTCCTGCCTTTTTTTTTTCATTGTTTCCTTAGATATTTTAGATCTTTTGTCTCTAGAGATGAGGTTTAAAAAAAATTTTTTTTATTGTTTTATCTGCCGTTGAAAAGTATTTCTTTGTTTGGTGTAAAACTAAACTGGTAAATTTCTGTCTAAGGGGAAGACCTCTGCCCCCCCTGCCTTCCTCTCAGATCCAAACCTGGCTCTCAGCATTCTGTTTAGTTCATGTAGAAGATCCAGATAGAGGAGTGGTATGAACCAAAGATGCACTTATATGCAGGCCTTTAAAACTCCCCTGGATCAAATTTAGGGAAATCACTCAAAGAAGTGAGTGAGAATTCTGAATACTTTAGAAGAACCAGATTTGGGGGGAAATTATAAAAATTAATTTTCATCTCTAATGTTCAGTTTGCATGCCAGTGTTATAATGACTCTTCTACCTTTGAGGGACCTATGCATGTCATAATTTTTTTTCATATAGACAGAGCAGATGAGGGAAATGTTGGAGGTCTGTTTTAGCGGTGATTTTGAGAAAGGACCTCATACTATCTTTGTGAAAAAGGTGGAAAGATGTGGTCTAGATGGTCCAAATACAATTATGGGAGTGGGCTCAAAGAGTAGACTTCAGTGGAATCGCTGCATGGATCTGTACTTGTCCCTGGGCACAGGAACATTTATAAAATTTTGGATGGAGGCAGAGAAAGTTCATCAAATTTACAGGTATCACCAATCTTAGAGGGAAAACTAACACACTGGATAAGAGAGTCAGGGTCCTGAAGGATGTTGCCGAGTGAGAACATTGTGCTGCATCTAATAAGGTAAAATTCCATAGAGAAAATATAAAGCCTTTTACTCAGGTACAGAAAATCAAGAATGTGATGAGGAGGCCTGGTTAGACAGCAGCTGTTGTGGAAAAGGATCTGTGGATTTCAGTGTATCTTATGCTCAGCTCAGGGTGGGCCAGCCGTGCAGGCCCCCAAAGCTAATACTCCCACATCTGCCCTGTGCCCTCCAAACTCCTGGTCATTGCCAACAGCTGAGGCACCCCCTCCCCCATAGAATGTAAGCTCACTGAGGGCAGGGACTGGCTTTCTTTTGCCTGGTATTTGAATCCCCAGCTCTTAGCCTGGTGTCTGGCATATATTCGGTGCTTAATAAATGATTTTTGACAGAATGATTGAGCAACAGTCCACCGGCTTCAGAGTTGTGAGGGAAACAAAATCCCTTATGATTCCTGAGTACTTTAGCAGAACCTTCATATTCTGTTGAAATACCCTGGGCTGCAAGGGGCTGACCTACAGAGGGTCACCTTTATGTGGAAAGCTGCTGAGAGCCCAGAAGCTTGCCTTTTTACAAAATGGCCCCAAAGCACGGAGGGAGCCCTGTCAGGACTATTCCCTCCCCAATCCACCTGTCCCCACAGGAGAGTGGGTTGGATTCTGTAATGAGGAGGCACAGAGAAATACTGGGTCTCATTGGATACTGACGACAACCTTACAAGTGTAGGTGCTATGATGGTGTCCATTTTGCAGAGGAGCAAACTGAGGCTGACAAGTGGACAAGTGACTTGCCCAGGGTCTCACAGCTAAGTAAGGATCTGAGGTCCTCCTGACTTCAATGACAGCAAGAATCTCTTTCCTTGGGCCACTTAGCTGCCTAAGACAGGATAGGCTGAACTGCCCCTACAAAAGATCTCCATTTTAAAAAGGAGAGATCTTGGCCACCCTGGAAGGAGCCCTTTTGGTCCGGTGGCGCTGAGGCAGGAGTTAATCGAGGCCAGGTGTAGCTGACATCTGGTCCCCAGCCTCTGCCCTGCTCCCCCTCCCCCTCGGGCCCTGCAGACCAGACAGGTGGCCGCCTCTCCTCCTGCACTGCCGAGACACTTTAGGGAATTCCAGGGCGGGGGAGTCTGAACAGTTACGGGTCCAGACTGTTGACAGCTGCCTGCTGGGGCAGAGTGGGGGTACTGCAGAGAACGAGGACCGGAGCGGGGACACGAAGTCCTCCTGGTGAGGAAAGAGAGGTTTGGGAGGAGGGAGGCCGAGGGAAAGATGGTCAGAGGCAGGCAGGGCAATGTAAGGGACCGGGGAGCAGTTTGGGGGAGGGGGAGCCATGTCTGGCCAGCGCCAGAGGTGATGGATCAGGTGGAGGTGGAGTGGAGCCCTTGGGTTGAGGTTCGTGGCCCAGAATGTCCAGGTGTGATAAGAGCCATTCCCGTGTCCATAGACCTCTATAAGTCTGAGGGCAGGTCTGAGGGCTAAGAGAAAGGCATTGGGGCCCGAGGTCCTCCCCCTGGATGGGTGGGGCCAAGTGGAGGGTCAGGGCCTGGGACCGGTTCCTCGGTTCTTGGCCGGACTCTGGACTTAGGTCAATGGAAGCAGGGCCTCCACACCTGGAGGCCGGTCCAGTGTCCAAGGGGCCTCCCTCTAGTCCGGTTTAGAGGACGGCTTTGGCGGAAAAGGCCAATCCGGAAACCTGAGGGCGGGGTCCTTGGGACCCCCACTAGGGCCCGCCCCAAACGTGTCTAGCCCACAGTGTCCTCTGCTTCCTCTTCCCCTTCCCAGCCAGTCCGGTCTTTGCATGCTCAGCCCTGGACACCTCCTCCTGGAAGCCCCCTGGGCGGGCTGTTGGAGCAATCGCTGACTGAGTGCTTTATAGGAAGCCAGGGCTGGGCGAGGTGGCCGGGGCTGAGCCAGGACCCCGCCCCCAGCCTGGGCCTCAGACCCACCCCGCTTCTGCTGTCCTTTCCTGCAGCTTCCGCCTGTGCTCTGGCCTCGTGGTGAGTCTCCCCCAGGGCAGCCGGGAGCACCCCTCCCTAGGCTGGATGCTGATCGTGATCCGCCTTCGGGACCCAGACATTCCGCTTCTTGTCCAGGCGCCCCAACCTCAGCTTCCCCGTTCAGACCCGGAGCAGGGGCATCCTTGGCCCAGCGGGACCCTGCTTCGCTGCCCCAGCTTCCCCTTACAGACAGGGGTGCTGCCTTCCACTAGTGCTCCCCGATCAGCTCTGGGTCCTTCTGAATCCTGGACAAGCTCCCCATCAGACGCCAGGCATCTTGGTCCCTGTCCCTCGCTCCTAACCCACTTCTGGACCCAGGACTTCTTCTCCTCTCTCCCCCACTTAGGAGATAAATGTTTTCTTCCCTAAATCCCAGGTCCTCTGCAGGACCCAAGCATCTTTCTGATTGTTCAGATGCCCCATCCTCGGCTTTGCCACAGGGTTTCAGAGCAGGAGCATCTTTGGCCTGGGATAGCCCCCCTAGAACTCTGCTTCCTCTTAGGGACAAGGGTACAGCATTCCCTTATCTGAGCTGGGTACTTCAGAGTCCTTAACAAGTTCTCCATCAGACCCCAGGCATCTTGACCCCCTGTCTCTGACTCCCTACTCTACTTCAGGACCCAGGTATCCTCCCCCACACACATTTAAAAGATCAAGGTTTCCTTCCTTACCAAATCTCAGGTCTTCTGTAGAACCCAGGCATCCTCTCCCCCAGGCTCCAGCTTCTGTCTTGGCTCCCAGGTACCCCTGATCCTACTTTTCATCCCTTGACCCTGAGGTCTTGTCCTCATAGGAACCAGGCATTCTGCCTCCCACCCCAGAGCCCCAATATCTACAGCTCCCCTGTAAGGACACACAACTCCTGAGTACATTGATCCCAGCTCAACCACAGGGACTCAGGTGGCCTCACCTTCAAATAAGGAGATCCTCCCACCCAGCCTTTTTTGCCCTGCCCCACCTCCCACATCTCTGTTACAGTGCTCCACTGCCCAATTTGTTCTACCTCCCAGACCCTCCCCCTGCTCCCCTTTTCTGGGTCTCTTGCTTCCCTCACAAGAAGATTACATCCCTTCCCCGGGTACTCCTGGTCTGAGTTTCTCTCCCGGCCTTTTTTATTTTGGACCCTCTCCTAATCTTGGTTCTCCCCAGCCACTGTTTCTGCTGCAGACCTAGTAGTCCGAACTCCTCCCTCCCCACCTCCAGTTCTGTCTCCTCACCCCAGACTTCCCCTTGTCTTCCAAGTACTCTCTCCATTCCCATGGATCCATCCATGGCTCTTTAGCCTCCTTCCTCCTCAGATCAAGCAGTCAAGTGCCTAGAGAGGGGTAAGAAATGAAAGGCAGTAGAGAGATGTCTGATTCAGTCAGATTCAATGAAAGCCTGGTTGGTCTAGGAGCCCCAGAACCTTCCTGTGTCTTGTCCAAAGGGAGATTGGCTAGGCCAGGGGAGGATGCCACACATTGTTTCTGTTCAGACCTTGTAAGTTTCCAAGCATTACCCTAATGGCCTCTTCTTTTTGGTAGACTCAGTGCCTTGAGGGTAGGCTCTTACCTTTTTGGGACTTGGTCTTCTCTAGGACCCAGTGGGGATGGCCACAAAGATAAGACATTTGGCCTCTGTGATGCTTCTACCTGTCCAGCTCAGGCTGCAGAAGATTCAGGCCTGACCCAGGAGGAAAGCAGGGAGTCAGCAGCAATGGCCCCCAGGACCCAAAAGACCCCAGTCCAGTTTAAGTGCAGTCAGGTCACAAACTTGGCATGCATCAGCAAACATGAATGTTTCCAAAAACACAGAACAGCAAAAGAGAATTGAATGTGAAACCCTTAGTCTCCCTGACATATAAATCTTGGTGGTTTCTTTATGCATCCCCTCAACCCCCCACCCAACACACACATATATTTCCTTTCCCTTGTGGAAACTACTTGCAGTAAAAAACCAACCAACCAACAAAAAACTTCACACGTTAGTCTTGTCTGAATGTGCTCAGACCAGAGCTAAAGCCTTTGCCAGCTGTTTTCTTTTACAATGTTGCAGAAGTCGCTGTTGGAATTGTCCTGGTGGTTCTGCTTCATTCTGTCTGTTCAGACAAGTCCTCCGAGCTCCCTCTGAATCCCTCCCATTTCCCATTTCTGTTTCCAGTTCTCTGCTACGACCGAAAGGGCTACTGAGAATATTTTGGTACATATAGGACCTTGCCTCTGTCTTTGAGCTCTGTGAGTCAGAAAACTTTTGTTCAGACCCTCTGAAGTTGGATTGAGTTTCAGAATCCTGACATCTCACAAGTAGCAGGCATCTCAGCAGTCAACACTTGCATCAGTGCTCAAAGAAAGAATCCTTTCAATACTGGTGGCCCCTATGCTCATGCGCCCCAAGCCCCTTTCTCCCCCCAGAGTGGGGGGGAATCAATAGCCCAGATTCCAAATACCAGCTCTCCACTGTCCCTATTCTAAATTTATTCAGTAATTTTTTCCCTCCTTCGAGTCACTGGATCACTGTCTCCCTCTCCAACTCAATGGCTGCCAGCTTTTTAGGAGAATTCAGTCTGTATTCTGATGTCCCTTCAAATACCCTAACTTCCCAGGTCCTCAGTCTCTTCAGCTCTCAGATCCCTTTATCACTCTACCTCAGCTAAGCACAGGAATGCTTATCCCTTTGATCTGGCCATTTCTGGAGAATTTTCTCTCTACTTAGAGGCATAACCGTCATGTGGGGTTCAGTGTTTGTGAGTCAAGGATAAGCAGCCAAATTGACAGCAATTTTTAAGCGTGCTGAGGAAGATTGTTCCAGCTGATAGCAATTTTAGCTTCCCAGGGGACAGACTGGATTTTTATGACTTTTAGGCTTGCCTAGGGTACACAACAAATCAGCCACATTCTGTGGCATCTTAGTATAGATGAGAAATCTCTTTCACAGGAGACAGAGAGGTAGGGAAAGGGGAATAAGCCAAAGGCAAGGAGGGGTCAATGGGAAATATTTACCATGCAACTGGCAGAGTTTGTTATCTGAATGAAAAGTCATTTCCTTTTCAAGGGCAGGAGAGGAGGACAAGAAATCAAATGGTTTTCCAATTGTGAAAGAAGAGCTTTTAGACAATCCATCCAATCCAATCCAATAAACATTTATTAAGCACCTGCTGGTGCCAGACACCGCTAAATTAATAAAAAGAATTAATTCATAAAATTAATAAATTAATTAAGAAAAAAAACAGCCCCTGCCCTTGAGGAGCTTATAGGTGGAGGTAACACACAAAAAGGAGGCAGGAAAAGCTGGCTGGGATGGGGTGCAAAACCAGTGGCATCTGCAGAGTGGAATGAGCCGAGCCCAGTTTTTGCCCTCTGTCAAGGACGGCAGTGGGAGGAGTTTGGAACTCCACCCCAGTCAGAGGGGAGAAGAGGCTAAGGGAGGTGGTATCAATTAAAGCTAGACTTAATTGCATGAGTGATGAGCTTAATTTGGGAAGGGCATCACCAGTGGAGATGCAGGGTTAAGAGAACTGTCCAGACCAGATTTCAACTAGCGGTTGTTCCCACAGCGACGATTTTACCATGTCTTTACATAGTTTGTTATATTTTGGTCTTCCTTCAATAGTAGTTGGTCACTTTCCAGTATTAGACCTCTAGCTTGTTGGGGGATTTCTTAAGTGACAGTACAGGAAGATGCTGAGAAATGCTCGTACTTCCCATTTGCCCCATACCATCTCTTCCCTTCCACGATCAAGACCTCTCAGATTCCTTCGTCTGCTCCATCTGTTACCGTCAGATGTCTCCCCGTGCCTTTCTACTCCTAAACCTATTCTCCATTCACTTGAGCCCCTCTGCTCACCCCTGATTGGTTACATGCCACCCCAATCTTGACACTTCAGTAAACTGTTGTTGTTCAGTCATGTCCAACTCTTTGTGACCCCATTTGGGTATTGTTCTGTTTTTTTTGCAAAGATGCTAGAACGGTTTGCCATTTCCTTCTCCAGCTCATTTTACTGATGAGGAAACTGAGTCAAACAAGGTGAAATGATCTGCCCAAGGTCACATAGCTGGTATGTGATTTAAACTCAGGTCTTCCTAACTCCAGGCCCAGCTCTCTGTCCACTGTACCAACTAACTGCGTTCATCCCCCAATTGATTATATTCACTGTCATTCCAGTCTTGACACTTTAGTGAACTAGTTCAACTGTATACTATCCTCTACTCTCTGATTCCTTGTTCTCTTGTACTCCCACCAACTAGTCCTGTAAAAAATCAGCCCTAGAGTACTCCCCTCACCTGCCTCCTATGAACCTACTCCCATGCTCCTGGAGCTAGAGAAGTCACCAAACTCTGCTGCCTGGATCCACTCTAAGGAAATGTCATCTCATCTTACCTCAAGGGGGCCCTCCCCTCCCTTTAGCTACAGGACACACTTCTTTCTCTCTCCCTAAACTTGACCCTCTATCCTACGCAGCACTGCTCTTCCCAACCTTCTTTTCTCTTCAGATTTCCCATGGCAGCCCATTCTGTCACCATCTCAGATGAGGACCTTGACCCATATTGGACCAAACAAAAATAGGCCATTTGCCCTGAGTTCTCTCCTTCTTTCTCCTTATTTCCCATCTCTTTGATGTTATCCCCAGTGAACTTCTGCTTCACTCCAGTCTCTGAGGAATTGGCAGCCCTCACCCTTGATAAGACCCATCTCTATGTGCCTTTGATCCCATCCACTCCTCTTTTCACTAGGTTGCTCTCATCATTCTCTCTCTCTCTCTCTCTCTCTCTCTCTCTCTCTCTCTCTCTCTCTTTCTCTCTCCCCTCCCTTCTCCCTCTTTCTTCTCTCTCTCTTTCCCCTCCCTTCTCCCTCTTTCTTCTCTCTCTCTCTCTCCTCTCCCTTCTCTCTCTTCTCTCTCTCTCTCTCCACTTAAATCTCTCTTGATTGCTAACTTTCATTTCCTTTTTTTTCACATCACTACTGTATTTTTATTTCACATTTTCTGTGAAACTCTGATCTTTTCATCCATAATGCATAGAAATCCCCATGTTTCGTTAAAGATCGGTTTTCCCCACCTATTCGATTATATTCAGTTTTTGTGGCAGAGTCATCATTGGTTATAAACCTGTATCTTTTGCCTTCTGGAATATTGAGTTCCAGGCTCTCTGCTCCTTCATGGTGGTGGCTGTTGTCATATGTGATCCTTTTGGTGACTCCTTGTTGCTTTCTTTCTTTCTGGTTTCTAGCAGTAATTTTTCTTTGACCTGGAATCTTAGATTTTAGCAGTAATGTTCTTGGGAATTTTCATTTGGGGATTTCCTTCATGAGGTCAATGGTGGATTCTATTATCATTTCATTCTCTTCTTCTAATATATTTGGACAGTTCTATGATTTCTTAAAATGTGATGCTTAGACACCTTTGGGGGAGTCATTGCTTTCAAGTTTTCTGTTGATCATTTTTCACATATTTAACCTTGATCTGTTTTCCAGGTTAGTTGATTAAAGATTCTATTTTTCAGCCTTTGGCTTTTAATATTTCTTGTCTCATGGAGTCATTAACTTCTTTTTGGTTCATTCAAGTTTTCACAGATTCAGTTGCTTGGGTGAGGGTTCATATTTCTTGTGACAAGCTATTAAACATGTTTACAATTCTTGCTCACATATGTCTCATTTCTTTTCCCTCCTGAATGTGCTTCTCATTTTACGGCCTTCAACACTGTGTCTCAGCTGCAGTCTCACCTGAGAACTTCCCTTGGTTCCTGGGACTTCCTCATCTTGGATCATTCTTCTGCCATGTTTGCTCACTCCTCCCACTGGTAAATTCCTAAATTCCCCCAAAATGTCCAGGTGGAAAAAGAGAAGAGAGTAGCCAGTGCAGGTGAGATGGCCTGGGAGAGAACTGAGGAGAGAAGGGATTGAATGGAGGTCACAGTGAGGATGAAAAATAAGGTTTCATGTGGGAAGGCAGAAGAAGAGAGGGAAATAGAGAAGGGAATTTCCGAGTTCTTTAACGTGGAGGGGCTGCATTTATGGGAGCTGATAACATCAAGGATTTACTCTGCAACCTTCTTTATTGAAGTTAATGATTTTTTCTGCTGATTTCTCTGCTGATTCCCAACAGTCAACCACAATGTCAACAGCCAATAGAGAGAAGAGACTGAGACGGTCATCTGGAACTGGGGTGGGTCTCTTTTTTTAAAGTGGTTCTTTTACAGGTAGTCCAATTTCCTTTGCTAGAGATTATATTATATATATTGTCAATAGGCCTCTATTGGGCGTTGGGTTGAATTGGGTGATTTCTTTGTGTTACGCAATTCCCTGGAAGCTCCCTGTCCTGCAGGTGAGCACCTTCTCTGAACCTTATGGGCATTTCCTAAAGGACTGAGATATTGGATGACCTGTCCAGTGTCACAAGAAGGCCTTGAACGCAGGTTTTCCATCTTTCAAGAGTAGCTCTCTATCTCCTACACCAAGTGGCCTTTCCAGTTCTGGAGACATAATCACATCAATACTATCTCTGCTACTGGACACTGGAGAGAGCATATCAGGCTTTGCCTGGTGGCTCTGCTCACCATCTCTGTAACTTTCCAAACCTAAATCTCTCTCCCTGGTCACACTCTCCTTGTTAGAATGTAAGCTCCATAAGGGCAAGGACTGTTTTCAGTTTTGTGCTTGTGCTAGAGAAGCTAGGGGGTGCACTGGAGAGAGTGATGAACCTGGTGTCAGGAAGACCCGAGTTCAAATTCAGTCTTGGACTTGGCATAACTGCATGATCCCACACAAATCACTTCACCTCTGTCTCCTTATTTGTAAAAATGGGATAATAATATAACCTATGTCTTAGGATTGTAGTCAGGATAAAATAATATTGGTAGAGGGTTTTACAAAGCTTAAAGCACTGTATGGTATAGATGGTATTGTCATTATCGTCATTATTGTTGCTCCGCTTGCACAACTCAGCATATACAGCCTAATAAGTGATTTTTTCATCCATTTATAACTGATACAAAAGATCTTTGGAAACCTCAAAGCTCAATGTCAACTCAGCCTTGCTGCCTGGCTCAGCTGTAGGGGTAGAGGCTACACTGAAGGATTCAGCACTTGTGGACTGGCAGTATCCGGTGGGACTTTGGGAGTAAAGGGGAAGTCCTCCATTGGTGTTACCATAGTGAGCATTAGTCAGTTACTCTGAAATTGAGCACTTGGAAAGAAAATGGCAGGGACTTTCTTTGACACCCAATGGAAATAACATCTGATTCATCATGGAGGGGGCCTGCCATATTACTTCTCATTGGAACTTTAAGCTCCTCTAAGGAGTGGTCCCTTGGGTGAGCACAAATGGATTTGTTGTTGTAGGAATCAGTGACATTTAAGGATGTGGCCGTGGACTTCACCGCAGAGGAGTGGGGATGCCTGGGCCCTTCTGAGAAGAAGCTCTACAGGGATGTGATGCTGGAGAACTATGGGCATCTAGTCCATCTGGGTAAGAACAACTTCCCTGGGTGAGTTAGATTCTACCTGTTGGATGGACTTTCTTAGGAAATGTCCTGGGAGCAGAGTAGTTACTGTTTGTCAAGCAGAGATCTCAGACTGCTAGTCCTTTCACATCTAAGAGACAGAGAGTGCTTGTGTTCTTAGCTCCTACGTGAAAGACATTTCAACAATTCTACCACCAGGCACTGTCCTAGGGATAGAGACCCAAAGATAAAACAGGACCATTGCTGCATGGAGCTTACATTTTATGGGAGGTTTTTGCTTTACAAAAATGAAAACTGGCCCCCAATTGACCCTGTACCTTTTCCACTCTGTTTCCATAGATCTAAGATTGGCCCCAAAAGTTCAAGTGCTGATACCCAAAGAGCTGACATGATTCCATTCTTACATACTACAATAGGTCCCATCCAGTAAATGGATTTTTTAAATGAGTCCAAATCCAGTCTAAGACAAAATTTCCCATGATTCCTAAGAACAGAATACAGAGCATCCTTGAGGGACCATTTGTCCTCTGATTTATGGACATGCCTAGCTCCCACTTCTCCACAAGCTAAGACTGAAAGCTGAGTTGACTCTTTCCCCATCTCTTTGCACTTTCCTATGAGCAGGACTTGCTGTTTCCAAGCCAGATGTGATCTGCCACTTGGAGAGAGGGGACCCTCCTTGGAAGCCAGTGATTAAAGTCCCAAGGACCAGCTTTCCAGGTGAGTGAGTGTCCCTCCAGCCATTAGATGGTCTAGTCAACCTATTGTGTTGGTCTTAGCGTTGACAAACCTGCAGTTTGAATCCTGGCACTTAGTAGCTATGGGACCCAGCCCCCAACACTAAACTGAGTCTCTGAGACCCCATCAGGCAGTTAATAAACATTTATTCAGTACCTGCTCTGTGCCAGGAACACCTGCATTTTCTTTTTCATTTTATTTTCTTTTGGTTCCAAATTCTGTCCTTTTCTACACCACTTCCTTCATCCATTAAGAAGGCAAGAACTATGATATCCATTATGCATGTGAAGTCATAGAAGACATTTCTGCATTAGTCATTTTGGAGATGGGAAAAAAAGCCAGAAAAATACAGAAGAAGAAAAAAATATTTCCATTTGGTCTCTAAGTCTATCAGTTCTCTCTCTGGAGGTGGATAGCACTTTATAGCCTGAGTCCTTTGGAATTGTTGTGGAATTGTTGTTGATTAGAGTAGTTAAGTCTTTCACGGTTGATTAGTTTTACAATATTGCTGTGTGAATATTACAACATTACTGTGTAAATTGTTCTCCTGGTTCTGCTCACTTCATTTTGCATCAGTTCTTACAAGTCTTCCCGTGTTTTTTCTGAAACCATTCCCTTGGTCATTTCTTACAGCACAATTGTATTCCATCACAATCATATACCACAACTTGTTCAGCCATTCCTCAACTGATGGATAGCCCTCAGTTTCCAAATCTTTGCCACCACAGAAGGTCGGTTATATTTTTGTAGATATAGGTCCCTTTCCTTTTTCTTTAATTTCTTTGATACATAGACATAATAGTGGTATTGCTGGTTCAGAGGGTGTGCAGAGTTTTATAGTTCTTTCAGCGTACTTCCAAATTGTTCTCTAGAATGGTTGGACTAGTTCCCAGCTCCAACAATAGTGCATTAGTGTCCTTATTTTCCCACATCCCCTTCCGCATTTGTCATCTTCCTTTTTTGTCTTCTTAACCAATCTGGTGGGTGTGAGGTGATATCTCAAGTTGTTTAATTTGTATTTCTCTTCTTAGTGATTTAGTTTTTCATGTGACTATTAATGACTGATTTCTTCCTCTGAAAACTGCCTGTTCTTATCCTTTGATTTTGTTATCAGTTGGGGAATGGGTCTTATTCCTATAAATTTGGCTCAGTTTATTATATGTTTTAAAAATGAAACCTTTCTCAGAGAAACTTAATGCAACAATTTTCCAGTTTCCTGTTTTTCTTCTAATTATAGCTGCTGCTGCTGTGTGTGTGTGTGTGTGTGTGTGTGTGTGTGTGTGTGTGTGTGTATAAAAACTTTAATTTTATGTGATCAAAATTATCCATTATACCTTCTGTGAACCTCTCTATCTCTTGCTAGGTCATGAATAGATCTGACAGGTAATTTCTTTCATGTTCTTCTAATTTGCTTATGATATTACCCTTTATATCTAAATCATATACCCATTTTGAGCTTTTCTTGGTATATTGTGTGAGATTTTGATTTATGTCTAGTTTTTGCCAGACTATTTTCCAGTCTTTTTTTTTTTTTTTGGTGAGGCAATTGGGGTTGAGTGACTTGCCCAGAGTCACACAGCTAGTGAGTATTATGTGTCTGAGGCTGGATCTGAACTCAAGTCCTCCTGACTCCAGGGCTGGTGCTCTATCCATTGTGCCACCTAGTTGCCCCCACTTTCCAGTCCTGCCCCAGTAGCTGGGATCTTTAGGTTTATCAAACACTAGGTTCCTGTGCCCATTTGCTTTTGTATGTTGTGTATCTAACCTGTTCCATTAGTCCACCGCTGTATTTCTTTTCCAGTGCCAGATTGTTTTGATGCTTACTGCTTTGTAATATAGTTTCAAATCTAGTCTGCTAGATCACCTTCCTTCACATTTTTTTTTCATTGATTTCCTTGACCTTTTGCTCTTCCAGATGAATTTTGTTATTATTTTTTCTAGCTCTATAAAGTAATTCTTTGACAGCTTTATTGCGTGGAATTAGTAAATAAATTTAGGTAGTATTGTCATTGTTATTATATTGGCTTGACCTACCAATGAGCCATTAATCTTTCTCCAGTTGTTTAAATCTGTCTTTATTTGGGGAAAAAGTGTTTTGTAATTATGTTCATATAGTTCTGGTGGGTATCGTGGTAGGTAGACTCCCAAGTATTGTGTACATTTCTGCATTTATTTCAAATGGAATTTCTTTTTCTATTTATTCCTGCTGGGTTTTGTTGGTAATAGATAGAAATACTGGTGATTTATGTAGGTTTATTTTATATCCTGCAACTTTGCTAAAGTTGTTAATTGTTTTGATTAGTTTTTTAGTTGACTCTGTAGAGTTCTCTAAGTATTGTCTGAAAAAAAAGTGATAGTTTTGTTTCCTCTTTGCCTAGCTTATTCACTTTCTTTTCTGTCTTATTGATATAATTAGCATCCTAATTCAATGTTGAAGAGAATTGGTGATAATGGACCTCCTTGCTTCACCTCTGCTCTTACTGGAGAGGCTTCTAGTTTATCCCCATTACAGATAATACTTGCTCTTGATTTTAGATTTTTGTTTTTGTTCAGTTGTCTTAGTCGTCTTTGCGACCCTCATTTGGGGTGTTCTTCACAAAGATGCTGGAGAGTTTTGCCATTTCCTTCTCTAGCTCATTTTACAGATGAGGAAACTGAGGCAAGCAGGGTTAAGTGACTTGCTTAGGATCACACACCTAGTAAATCTCTGAGGCCAGGTTTGAATTTAGGAAGATGAGTTTTCCTGACTCCAGGACCAGCACTCCATCCACTGTGCCACCTAGCTGTCTCATTTTAGACAAATACTACTTATTATTTTAAGAACAACTTCCTTTATTCTAATGCTTTCTAACATATTTAATAGCAATAGATGTTATATTTTATCGAAACCTTTTTCTGCAATTGTATGCTTTTTGTTTGTTTGTTTTTGATATGGTCAACTATGCTTATAGTTTTCCTTATATTGAATCATTTCTGCATTCCTGATATAACTTCAGCCTGATCATAGTGTGTGATCTTTGTGGTATATTGTTGCATTTTCCTTGCTAGCATTTTATTTAAAATTTTTTGCATGAATATTCATTGGGGAAATTGGTTTATAATTTTCTTTGTTTTTGCTCTCCCTGGTTTAAGTATCAAGACTATATATGTGTCATAGCAGGAATTTGGTAGGACTCCTTTACCTATTTTATCAAACAATTTTTCTAGTATTGGAATTAATTGTTCTTTAAATGTTTGCTAGAATTTGCTTGTAAATCTATCTGATGCTGGGGTGTTTTTCTCAAGGAGCTCATTGATGGCTTGTTCAATTTCTTATTCTAAGATATGAGATGAATGAAAAACCCAAGAGACAGACTTTCTGGGTAATGAATAATCAATTTATTAATCAGACTAGCTAATAATCAATAAATTGATAGTCATTGGTTTCTCTTGGTAACCAAAGACCCCTAATGGAGATACTGAATACCTTAAATATTTTTTTGAAAGGGAATGTCCCTGGCAGGAGAAATCAACCATTTTTGGTGAACAGTTAATAAGGGGGTAGGCATATTAATGAAGAGGTGGTCTAAAAATATTTAGCTCCTCCTGCTGAGAATGTGGCTTGATCATGAGACTCAGCTCTAGCAGTCTGGACAGAAGAATCCATCTCTACCCACACCACTCTGGTTGGTTTTCTCTGTCATAAGCTGTATTGCCCTAAACTCTAATGGAGTGGAGAAGGGAGCTGTTTCATGGGCATAGACTTGGTATTTTGGGGTTGGAATTCACCTACATTAGATTCTCATTACGCTCTAAATAGAAGTTAGGTCTCCTGGTTGGATGGGGTCCTACCCAAGATCCTAGAGCATGTACTCCACTCTGAGGATAAGTCAATCTCATCTGTCAGCCTTGTCCTTCAGAGACTGGCTGAGTGACCTACAGGGGCTATTCCCCAAATGAGGAAATAGAAAGCCTGGATCTTAATTAATAATGGGTTATTAATATAAGAGAAAATAATCATTTCTCTCAGATAGGGTTAAGTGTTCTACTTCCTGTTCTGTTAATCTTGGCAATTTATATTTTTGTGAGTATTCATCTATTTCATTAAGATTGTCACTTTTATTGGCACATAGTTGGGCAAAATTGCTCTTAATTATTGCTTTTATTTCATCTTCATTGGTTGTGTATTGACTCTTATCATTTTTGATATTGGTAGTTTGGCTTTCTTTTTTAATCAAATTAACTTATGGTTTATTTATTTACTTATTTTCATAAAACTAGATCCAACTTTTATTTATTATTTCCATGTATTTTTTTAACTTTCAGTTTTATTAATCTCTCCTTTGAGTTTCAGGATTTCTATTTTGGTGTTCAAAATTTCTTGGTTTTCTATTTTTTTTTTAGTCACATGCCCAATTGTTGCTCTACTTTCTTCCTTAACATAAGCATTTAGAGATATAAATTTTCCTCTAAGCACTTCTTTGGCAACATTCCACAAATTTTGTTATGTTATCTCATTGTTATCATTATCTTTGATGAAATTATTGTTTATATGATTTGTTCTGTTACCCATTCATTCTTTTTTTTTTAAATTTATAGAATAAAACAAGCATTTCCATAACATAGTACAATAAAAAAGATGATCGTACATGAAACTGCAAATCTACTATGTACAACTTGCTATTCCTTTCACATATACAACAAAATTATCATGCAAATTTTTTTTCTTCCCTCCTCTCCTGCCCACCCTAAAGATGGCTACAGTTAGATGTGTGTGTGTGTGTGTGTGTGTGTGTGTGTGTGTGTGTGTGTGTGTGTGTGTGAATTATTCTCTACATATTTCTATTTATCAGTTGTTTCTCTGGATGCAGATAGTGTCTTTTTTCATATATCCTTTATAGTTAATTTGGGTATTTATAATAGACAAAATAACTAATTTGCTCGAAGTCATTTTTATAACAATATTGCTGTTACTGTATAGCATGTTTTCTTGGTACTGCTCATTTTGCTCTTCATTATTTCACGCAAATCTTTCCATGTTTTTTCTAAAATCATTGAGCTCATCATTTCTTATAGCACAGTAGTATTCCATTACATTTATATATCACAACTTGTTCAGCCATTCCCCAATGGATAGGCATTCCTACAATTTCCAGTTCTTTGCCACCACAAAAAAAGCTGCTATAAACATTCCAGAACATATAGGTTCTTTTTCTTTTTCCCTAATCATCTTTGTAAATAGACCAAGTAATGGTATTGCTGGGTCAAAAGGTATAGGCAGTTTGATAATTCTTTGGACATAGTTTCAGATTGCTCTCCAAAATGGTTGGATCATGTCACAATTCCACCAACAATGAATTAATGTCCCAATTTTTCTACATCCTCTCCAACATTTGTCATTTTCCTGTTCTATCATTTTAGACAATATGGTAGGTGTAAAATGATACCTCAAGACTGTTTTAATCTGCATCTCTTTAATTAATAACATGTTAGAATATTTTTATGTCTTTCTTCATTGAAAAATCATCTGTTCATATTCTTTGACCATTTATCAACTGGAGTATGATTTGTATTCTCATCTACTTGATAAGATATTTTAATATGAAACCTTTATCTGATCAAACTATTAATATTTTCCAATTTTCTGTTTTTCTTCTAATCTTGGCTATATTAATTTTATTTGTACAAAACCTTTTAAATTTAATGTAAATGAAATTATCCATTTTGTACCTAGTTTTGTTCTCTATCTCTTGTTTATTCATGAATTGTTCATCTACCCATAAACCTGATAAGTTATATGTTCCATGTTCTTGTAAAAATCTTTCCTTATATCTAGGTCAGGTATCCATTTTGACCTTATCTTGGTAAATGGTGTGAGATATTGGAATGAATTATTATCCCTAAATCTTAAGTCTTCACACTTATCAAATACAACATTATTATGTTTATTTACTGCTGTAAATTGTATGTCTTCTCTATTCCACTGATCTACCTTTTTATTTCTTAGCCAGTACCAGATAGTTTTGATAATTACTGCCTTAAGTTTAAGATCTGGTACTGCTAACCCTCCTTCCTTTCCATTTATTTTTCATTATTTCTTTTGACATTCTTGACTTTTTGGTTTTCCAAATTAATTTTATTATTTTTTCTAATCCAGCAATGTGATTTTTTGGGTAATTTAATTGGGATGGCATTGAATATATACATTAGCTTAGGTAAAATTGTCATTTTTATTATATTGGCCGTGCCTACCCATGGACAATTAATATCTCTCCAGTGATTTAAATCTGATTTTATCTGTATAAAACATTTAGTATTTTGTTTATATAATTCCTGGGTTTGTTTTGGCTGGTGTACTCCAAGATATTTTATACTGTTTAAGATGGGGCATTTTTAAAAACTATCTCTTCTTGCAGAGTTTTGTTTGTGATATATAGGAATGCTGATGACTTATGTGGATTTACTTCATATCCTGCTAAATTTGCTAAAATTATTAATTGTTTCAACTAACTTTTTAGTTGAATCTTTGTGATTTTCCAAGAATATCATCATATTGTCTGCAAAAAGAGATAGTTTATCACTTCATTCTATATTCTGATTCCTTCAATTTCTTTTTCTTCTCATTACTATTGCTAATATTTCCAATACATTATTGAATAATATTGGTGACAGTGGGCATCCTTGTTTCATACCTGATCTTACTGGGAAGGCCTCTAGTTTATCACCATTACAAACAGTGCTTGCTGATGGTTTTAGATAAATGCTTTTTATCAATTGAAAGAAAAATCCATTTATGCCAATTCTTTCAAGCGTTTTTAATAGAAATGAGTGTCGAACTTCATCAAAAGCTTTTTCTGCATCTATTGATAGGCTCACATGATTTTTTAAACTTTTATTATTGATGTAATCATTTATCTTAAGTTTTCCTTATGTTAAACCATCCCTGCATTCTTGGTACAGCCTCCCATAATGAGCTTTCTATATTCCTAGCCTTGTTTCAGGGTATGGGGAAGAGAACAGCAATTATTAACTGCCTGCTAGGTGTCAGGCACTGTGCTAAGCCCTTTGCAAATATCATCTCCTTTAATCATCACAGAAACCCTGGGAGGCATTTGCTGATGAGTAAGGACGCTGAGGCCAAAGAATCACCCTGCTAGCAAGTATCTTAGGCTAGATTTGAACTCAAGACTTCCAGATTCCTAGGCCTACCCTCTTTCCACTGGGCTTTCCTCCTTATGGGTCAGTCTACATCACCAATCAGTAATCCTTTCTGGCCTGTGCCATGGTGCTATGCCCAGAGGTATTTGAGTTGGCCACATAGCTTTTCTCACTGCCCCTTCCATGCTCATAGACCGTTTTCTGGGGGATAAGAGGAAAGAGAGAGGCATTTCTTAAGTGTCCTCTACATGCTAGGTGCTCTTTTTAATAACTAAGGCCAAGAGTGTCAGCCAGACTTTCTACAGATCAGACAGCCAGAACAATAAGGTTCCATTACCCTTACACTGGACCCCTTTGGGGGATCTTCAGAGCCTTGGGTCATTGAGTAGTAAATGGAAGCTCTAGAGACCCAAGAAGTTTTGAACTACCATCTTCACCCCCTACAAAACTTTCATACCCCTACCAAAATTCAAGGCCATGTCTCAATACTGTCTTAATGCTTGATAAATTCTTATGACATATGGACTAATTCAGTTCATCTTAATATATTGCTTTATTCATAATATTAACATAAAATGCAGAAAATCCATGTTTGTAATTAATCAACTAGGGAAATAGATCTTGCTATTAATTTTATGTAACCTAAAAAAAAAGGGGTAGGTCAAAATGAGATCCTGAAGTGAATCACCACAATTTATGCTTCAGATTAGTGTGTGCTTAGTACAGAGGGAAGGAATGGCAGACACAGAAGTGTACCCCACAGGGAGGGAGACTGATCTCCTGAAACTGAGAGATGGGATCGTGTTTCTGGTGACCAAGAGAGAAGTACTTCTGTTACCTCAGCTTAACAGATATCATTGTTTTCCCCATACCAGACTGAATGGGGAATTCTTGCGGGGAATAGTTAAAGGGAGAGTAATTTGGGGAATATCACCCATGAGTTTGCACCTCCATAATAGACATTACTGTTGCTCCATTTAAACAAATGAAAAAAAAAACCCTAACCTAGCCTTTCTTCCTCTATTTTCATCCTTCCTTCCAAATTTCTCCCAGCCAGTGGCTGGTGCAGCATATAGAGCACAGCCCTGGATTCAGGAAGATGAGTTCTAAATCCGTCCTCAGACTCTTACCAGCTTCTAAATTGTTATTGTTTTTCCCAGAGTTTGTCAATGCTTTTCTATATTCATCATATTCATTTGTTCTCATAACATGCTAGTATTCCATCACATTCTGCAACAAAAACTTGTTCAACCATTCTGTCATTAAGGGGATGTCTACTTTTTTCCAATACTTTGCCATCACCAAAAAGTGCTGCTATAAATCTTTTGGTTTACGTGGACATATTCTTCTTATCAATGGATTCATTATTGGTAAAAACCAAGCAAGTAGTAGCCTCTCTGCATCAAACAGCATAGACATTTTAATCCTTTTACTTACATAATTCCAACCTGAATTCCAAAACAGCTGTACTGATTCACAGTTCCACCTACAGTGCTTTAGTATGCCTGTCTTCCCACAGTCCTTCCATCACTGACTATTCTTATCTTTGTCATCTGTCATAATTCGCTGCCTATGAGGCAGAGTTGCTGGATTTGAATTTCTTTTATTAGTGATTTGGAGTGTTATTTTACATGACTGTTAATAGTTTGCGATTTTTTAAAAGAAGTATTTGATCATATCCTTTGAACATTTGAGTACCGGGAAATTTTTGTCTTCTATATATCTTTTAAGTTTTATTTGTCTTAAGAGTAGTGAATATTTTGTACCTATGAATAACACTCCAAATTTTTTTCTATGGAATTTTATCTTCTTCAATTCATCATTTTTTAGAATAGAAATGAAAAGACCCAGACTTGAGTTTGTTTCTGTTAGTAATTGGTCATCCACTAAATTTCTTTACTCACATTTCGAAAATATAAAAACTATCTTTCCTTTCTCTTCAGACTGTTGTGAGGATGAATGTGAAAGAACTTCTCAAAGATGTGATTCTGGTATGATTTATATTTGATGATGAAATATTTCTTTATTGAGGAGATTCAAGTCAGGTATAAGAATACAGTAGGTGGATACAGGGGAGGGGATATAAACATTTTATACTTACTTGCAGATGGTGAGACTAGGTCGGAAACCATGAGGTCATCTCTAAAGGGGAACATTTCTCTTGAGACATTTTCTCAGAAAAATCTCAAAAAGGCTAGTGTATTGACCTCCAGCAGGAGAGAAGCCTGGAAATGTGGTGCCAGTTTGGGCAGGCATCGAAGCTCTAAGGAGGAACATTCTTGGTAAGTGCAATGTCATATAAAACAAAAACCCAAATAAATTGAAAAGACCATGAGTGTAGCAAATATGGTAAAAGCTTGAGCCTAGATTGAGTCCTTTTTCCATTGCAGAGCAGGTCTATAGGAAAGAGTCTCCATAAATGAGATAGGAAGAAATTCAATTTCTTATCAGACCAAAATCACCATTATGGGAATTTACCCAACAAAAATATTTTCTAACTATAATGGAGGTGTTAGATTCTTTGATGCTTACTTAGACCTTAATAAATATTATGGAGTATGTCTCAGAGAGTAATCAAATTAATACAGACAGTTCTCACTTTACATAAATTCACATTACACAAATTCAACTTTATGTAAGTAATTCTAAGATACCCGCATTCCAAAAAGAAATGGCAAAAATTCCTTTACGCAAGACAGATGCTGTACAGTAAGGTGCTGTATTATGCAGGCAGCACAGATGGTGGTGGGAATCTGAGAACATCTCTAAGTCAGTTCCCCATGTCTGAGGACAGTGAGTGATACTCTGCCTTTTCCTGTGTTCAATAGCGATCCTTATATTTTCACCATGGCTGGAGGCAAACGTGTTCTCGAGGGGAAAAGTGAACCATCTCGTAAGCGCAAGTCAATAGACTTGGAGATGAAAATGAACATAATTAGAAAATATGAAGGAGGACAAAAATTGTCATCGATAGCACGTGAACTTGGCCTTGCCGTGTCGACTGTGAACACCATAGTGAAGGATGCTGCCCGGATAAAGGAGCACGCGGAAGACAGTGCTTGCATGAAGTTGACTTACCTGTCAAAACACAGAGAAGGCGCTATCCTAGAGATGGAAAAACTATTAACCATGTGGATCGAAGCCCAGAATCAGAGGAATATTCCTTTAAGCTTACTGGCAATTCAAGACAAGGCCAGAAGCCTCTTTGAAGATTTAAAGGTAAAATACCCTGAAGGAACACAGGTATTTACAGCAAGTAGTGGTTGGTTTGCACGGTTTAAAAATCGTGCAGGATTTCATAATATGCATGTGTCTGGAGAGGCTGCTAGTGCAGCTATTGAAGCAGCAAAGAAGTTTCCAGAGTTCCTGCAAAAAATAATAGACGAAGGTCCCTACTTGCCAGAGCAAATCTTTAATGTAGACAAAACCGGCCTTTTTTATCAAAAAATGCCATCTCGAACTTATATCTCAGTGGGGGGGAAAAACGATGCTGGGGCACAAGGCTTCAAAAAATAGAGTTACTCTTCTACTTGGAGGGAACGCATCTGGGACTTGCAAATTAAAACCTGTTGTTGTACACCACTCAGAAAATCCTAGAGCATTAAAAGGCATCAGCAAGGCAACTCTACCTGTGTATTATTTTGCTAACCCTAAGACATGGATAACTCTTGATATCCTTGAACAATGGTTTATGCACTGCTTCATTCCTGAAGTGGAGAAGTTTTGTAATGACAATGGCATTCCTTTCAAAATTCTACTGATTTTGGATAATGCCCCAGGTCACCCTCTCCATCTGGATGATTTTAATGAAAATGTAAAAGTGGTCTACCTTCCCCCTAATACTACCTCATTATTACAACCTATGGATCAGGGAGTGATTGCGGATTTCAAGGCCTATTATTTACGTATTACATTTGCCAAGGCAATTGCAGCTTTGGATGCAGATAAAGACTTGACATTGAGAGATTTCTGGAAGTCCTATAACATTTACCATGCAATCCAGAATATTGCTAAGGCTTGGGGAGATGTCACACAAGCATGTATGAAGAGAGTTTGGAAAAAAGTGTGCCCGCAGCTTGTTCCTGATTTTAGTGGATTAGACAAAGATGAAACGTTAAAACAAGTGAGTAACAAGATTGTAAAATTAAAACAGGAATTGGAGCTAAAAGTGGATGAGAATGATGTGGAGGAGTTGATTGATGGAGAAGAACTATTGAATGAGGATCTGATCGAGCTGCTGGCTGCAAAGATTGAAGAAGAAGAAAGGGAAGCTTCGGAACCTGAGGTCGAACCAAAAAGGTTCACAGTGAAACGGTTGGCAGAAGCATTTCACCATTTGGGTGCATTTTTTTCTTCTATTGAAAAAATGGATCCAAATACTTCAAGATTTTTTAAAGTTCAAAGGCTAGTTGAGGATAATGTTGCTTGCTATCGTCAGATATATGAGGAAAAAAAGAGAGCCACTGTCTAAACATCTCTTGATAGCATCATAAATGAAAAAGTTGTGTAGCCAACCATGAGTGATAAAGGCTAGGTGCAGTGGGTGGGGAAAGGGGCAGCTTACTGCACACCTATGTTAACTTTACTGCACAGTATTGTGCGTACTTTATTGTTAACTTTGCCTTTCATTTCATAATTCTGCTTATTATGGTACAGTATTGAATATGTCTCTATTTTAGTACATTTTAAGACTTGCGTAAAGGTATTATTTTGTATATGCCTTTGTTACATAGGCTAAGTGAAGAGGTTGGGTAGAGGCAAATTATGTAAAAATCACTTTATGTAGAGGTCTGCATAACAGTTCACTTATGTAAAGGGAGAACTGTCTGTATAATGAATAAAGAAAAGCCTTCAAGTCCAATCTATGAATTCCTATCTGATAATAGATCCTGGAGAGAAATCCCATAAAGGTAATAAATGTCAGAAGGTTTCTCCCCTGAGAATATAACTTATTGGACCTCAGAGAATTCTTACTGTAGAGGCTTGTGAGCATGATGATTATAGTAAGGTGTACAATCACCACCAATCCCTTTCTTCTCATCACAGGATTGATACAAGGGAGAACTCTTGTAAATATCTTGAAAGTGGGAAGGGCTTCAAAGAAAATAAAGAATTTATAAAGCACCAAAAAATTCATACTGGAGAGAACTTTTTTGAATGTCATATAGATGGAAAGGAGTTTTCAAGGGCATCTCTTTCTCCACATGTGGGAATTCATTCAGAAGAGAAACCGCAAGAATATCATGAATGTGAGAAGGCATTCGGTAGTAACACAACTCTTACCCAGCATGTAAGAATTCATGCCAGAGATACACCTTGTGAATGTGGGAAGCCCTTCTACAAAAAGGCACATCTTAACCAGCACATGAGAAGTCATACTGGAGATAAACCTTATGAATGTCCTGAACATGTGAAGGCAGAAGACCCAGAGACACATCTTAGTCAACCTATGAAAATTCATACTGGAATACTTTTAATTGTAATGAATGTGGGAAGACCTTCATGTTTAAGTCATATCTAACCCAGCTTGTAAGAATTTATAATGGAGAGAAACCTTATGAATGGACTGAATGTGCAAAGGCCTTCTACCCAAAGACATATCTTACTCAACATATGAAAATTCATACCAGAGAGAGACCTTTTAAATTGTAATGAATGTAGGAAGACCTTCAAGTGTAAGCCAAATCTCATCCAGCATGTGAAAATTCATACTGGAGAGAAACCTCATGAATGTCATGAACATGGAAAGATCTTCTACAAAAAGAAACATCTTACCCAGTATGTAAGAATTCAATCTGGAGAGAGACCTGTAATGAACGTGAGAAGATCTTCAGACAGAGGGGAAGCTTGACTCAACACCAGAGAATTTGTATAAGAAAGAAAGCTCAGGAATGACTTCTGGTTGATGTGACCAACAAGATGTAGGATAAGACACTTTCTCTCATCATCATGATTTCTCAGACCTTTCCAAAGTAGCAATTATGTGAAAGAAAACCCACTTCTGTTGTCCCCCTGGTTTAGAACACCAAGAACTCTAATAGGATGAAACATTATGAGTGGTATGAATTTAGGAAAGCTATCTTCTAAGAGTGAGGAACTTATATTCTACATTAACAAATACATGCTGGAGAGAAACCTTTTGAATAAAATGATTAACAGTAGGCCTGCTGCCAGAGCATTCCAGATTAATTCAGCAAGTATTTATTGAATGTGTACCGTATAGAAGTTACTATGCTTAGTAATAGGCACTCTCCTCAAGGAGCTCACATTCTCCTGGGAAAAACACCATTCTCTATACCAGCTGCTTCACCAACTGTGTCGGTTTAAATCATGATGGTGCCCTTCCATCACCAAACACAGCTGACAAAACTTCAGAGAATTCACACTCGAGAGAAAACTTAGGAATATGAGAAGGCCTTATGCCCATTCACAGAACTTCATGAATATCAGAGAATTCATACTGCAGAATATGCCAATGACAATATCAGTTGGCCTCCAACTGTTAGTCAACCTTTCCTTCCCATCTTGGAATATATTATAGACACAGACTCCATTGATGCAATAAATATAGGAAGACTTGGAGCTGTAACAGAAAGATTTTCTCTGCATCATTAAACTCATACTGGGGAAATCATTATTACTAAATATGCCCAGGCAGTAAGTATTTTGAAAGCAATCAAAAAAGTTTGTCTGAGCCATGTGGCAAGATCTGTTTTCTGTCCTGTTACAACAACAAGAAGCTTTTATAACATTACCAGCTCCACATAGACAAATAAATACATTCATATGGTCCTCCCCTGTGTCCTGGGCTGTTTGTGTGCAGGATTGCCACTACAGCTCCCAGTGTGTCTGCACCTGCTGTTTCGTCACTTGCCTGTCGCCACAGGACTTTGAGATAGATAAAGTGGTAAAATGGGTGATGTCCTTTGATTCATGCATAAGTTGGATTTAAGTGAAGCAGAGTTGCACAAAGTCTTTGGCCTCACTTTCTCCTCCAGAGTCCAATGGCAGGACAGAATCAAGACAACTGGTGATGGCTCAAGATGCAGTGGATGACCTTAGCATCTCTGATGTCTGACCAAGCTCTAAGCTCTCCACAGTACCTGCTTCCTGGCCAAGATTTACAAGATAGGAGATCCAATGCACATATAAAAGCTGACTAAAATTTCCAGGTTATATGGCAAGAAGAGATCATCCCCCAGGAGTTCAAGGATGCCTCCACTGTCCATCTCTATAAAGGTAAAGGAAATAGATTGTCCTGTGACAATCACAGGGAGGTCTCTCTCTTAGTCATTGCTGGCAAGATTCTTGCCAGAGTCCTCCTTAATAGGCTGATCCTTCACCTGGAAGATGGTCACCTACCTGAGAGCCATTGTGGCTTCAGAAAGGGTCAGGGAATGGTTGATATGGTGTTTGCTGCCCAATAACACCAGGAGAAACACCAGGAGCAGAACACAGGCCTGTATACAATGTTTGTAGATCTGACCAAGGCCTTTGATACTGCCACTTGTGAGGGCTTATGGAAAATTAGGTCAAGATTTGGTTGCCCAGAGAAGTTCATCAGTATTGTACGTCAGTTTCATGAGAGCACGCTTGCCCAGGTTCTGGATAGTGGACAATGCTCTCGTGCTTTCCCAGTCACCAATGTAGTGAAAGAAGGCTGTGTGCTTGCTCCCATGATTCTTAGCGTGGTGTTTTCAGCCATGTTGTCAAATGCTTTCAATGAGGATGAACATGGCATCAAGGTTAGCTACCACCATACCACCAATAGAGGGAACCATCGGTTACGGCAAATGGAGAAGTTTTTAATGCTGTGGATAAGTTCACTTACCTTGATAGTGTGCTTTCCAGGGACATACACATTGATAATGAGGTTGATGCACATATTGTCAGAGCTAGCTCATCGTTTGGGAGGCTCCAAAGGAAAGTATGGGAGAGAAGAGGTATCAGACTGACTACCCAAACTGAAGGTCTACAGAGCTGCTGTGCTGACCTCATTGTCGTATGCCTGTGAAACCTGGACAGTATACCAGCACCATGCCAGGAAACTGAATCACTTCCATTTGAATTGTCTTAGGAAAATTCTGAAGATCATCTGGCAGGATAAGATACCAGACACTGAGGTCCTTTCATGTCAAGCATTCAAACTGTGCTTCAGAGAGTACAACTCTGATGGGATGGCCACATTGTTCAAATGCAAAATGTACGCTTGCTAAAAAACCTATTTTATGGAGAACTTCCATAGCGCAAGCATTCACAGGGTGGTCAGAAGAAGAGATACAAGGACACTCTCAAGGTCTCTCTTAAGAACTTTGGAATTGATTGTGTGACATAGGAGACACTGGTACAGGACTGCCCAGCATGGCATGCCCACATCAGAAAAGGTGCTGTCCTTTATAAGAAAAGCAGAATTGAAATAGCTCAAGAGAAAGGTAAGATAGGCAAACTTAGAGAGTTCACCCCAAGGATTCACATGGACTATTTGTGCCTGACCTGTGGTAGAACATTCCAAGCTCCTGTTGGTCTGGTCAGCCATAGTCAGACATACTCAAACTTGACTCTAGCATCATGATGTCCTCTTGGTCCTCTTGGGAAACTAAGGACAACAACCAGCAAACAAATGACAAAAATCATCATTTTTGAATTTGAATCCTTTATTGATACTTTTTACTTTGCAAATAAATCACTCCAAAGGCACCTTCTAAGAAAGAAAAGAAGGCCTTAACTGAGTCTGACAATACATGCCTGATTCTGCACCAATAAGGTGACATGTTATATCATGTGACCTTAGGAATCAATTTGGTCATTGAATACACATGCTGTTTAATAGTGTTTCCTAGTATTTCAGTGCAATCATTGTGCGTATTTTGCTCTTGTTTGTGTTTATTTTTCTTTATATCAGTTGGAGGACTGTATTGGTCCCTTTTTAGATGAAAGTCCAAGCCAGAATGTGACACTGTGAGTCTAAAAAGTTTTATTAAAAAAAAAGTTTTCTAGTACCTGGGGTGAGGGTGAGAGTATATCATCAAGTCACATAAATGAGGTGCATAAGCAAGAGTTTCTATAATGGAAGGGGGTGGTGAGAGGTACAGGAAACCCTTGAATTTAACTCTCATCTGAACTGGTTCAAGGAGGGAAAAATAAACATGCACATCCAATCATGTACAGAAACTCGTTTTACCCAACAGGGATGTAAGAAGGAAGGAGAAGAGAGAGGGTATGGTAAGGGACACAGCGGTCAGAAGCAAAATAGAGTCTTGAGGAGGAGCTAGGGTGAAAAAGACAAGGATAAGTATAAGAATAGGATGGAGGGAAACACACAGCAAACATAACTCTGAATTTGGATGGAATGATCTTACCCACAAAATAAAAGATGATAGGAAAATGGATTAGAAATCAGAATCCAACAATATATTATTTGCAAGAAACATACTTGAAACAGAAAGATATATGCACAAAGTTAAAATAAAGGGCTGGTATAGACATTATTATGCTTCACCTGAAATACAAAAAAAAGTGACAGGAAGCAATCATGATTTCAGATGATGCAACAGCAAAAATAGGTCTAATTTAAATAGATAATCAGAACAGAATTCTGAGAAGATGGTGGAACAAGATGGGAAACACTGGACTCTCTGGATTCTCCCTCAAATGTGATAAAAATATTGCCTCAAAGGGAATTTTGAGCTGCAGAAATAATTAAAAGTCGGGATAAAACATTTATCCTCCTAAGACAACTGGGAAGGGCCTTAAGACCCAATCTCCTGGGGTGGAGGCCTGGCTGAAGTGCAAACACCTCTAGGCAGAGTCTGCTGAATCAACAAACCACAATCTCTCTTGAGCAGTAACCTCCTTTGCAAA